AGCAGCATCCACACAGAGAACCAGTTGATCACATACTTGATGGGTGAGGCTTCCTTTAGGCCCTGTCACTGAGTTACATGGAGTCTCAAAGTAAGTGGCAAATGCCAAAGGAAGATGAACCTAACAGTGACCAGGGACACTTCCCTCTCCTTGGGTCGAAGTAATGATATACTTACAAAAGAGTGGCAGAAAGTTTCTTTTTGGTCCTTTGATCGCAGGTTTTTGTTTTGGCTTGGTTGGTATTAGTTTTGATGCCAATCTTCTCTCTTTTATCCTGTGTCATATCTGCAGCTGTTTTTGTTTTGTCTACAACCTAAAATAATTTCCTATATTTATAGCTACTAAAGTACCTTCCTACTCCTATATGCATATCATTATTATACATTCTCAAGGGATGTTAAGTTCAAGAAAAATGTCATGCCTTCCTCCAGAAGCATTGTGACATCATTCTAATGTAACCATTAACAACTATTGTGCAATCCCTGTGACCCTACTACATAGGATTTCTTCCTTCCCCTTGGAAAGCAATGTGACCAGTATAATCTTCTAGTATTTTTTATTCCCACTTTTTCTCTTAGTTTAATGTCCTGTGAAAGAATTAGAGCAATGACAGCCATAGCAGTAACCAGATGAAGACCAATGAATGGGTGATGGTTTTAGCGTTTGAGGAGATACAGCACTCAGTATTTCTGACAATGGATTTAGGATCATTAAAGCCACATGCTCAGTTTTATATATAAAAAAAAATGTTTGTACTTTCATTGGTCTTCACACTAGCTTAGCTATGAGGCTGGAATGTATAATATTTACCCCAAAGAAAAATGACCTGTAATTTAAACTGGCCCTCCCTCTTCCATAAAGCTATAATAGAGAAAAGAATTACCAACATACTGAATATATTACCTAGTCTGGTAAAGAAATATCTGCAGACAAGCAAGCAAGCAAACTGGGAGAGCACACAGGACTCAACTCTGAGCTACAGATAATTTAGTATCTTAATTATCATTACAGTCCAAAATCCTGTGCATAGCTAGCCTTTCTATCTTATCAACCAAGGGAGGCCAGCCAGCTAAAACCAATCTCAAAATCCTCAGCCCCTCAATTGTGCGTATGTTACAGTTATGTGAGTGTATATACATATACACACAGACACATGTATGTATGTATACTTAAAACAAATAAATAAACGTGAACACCAGGGAGTTACTATAAAAATTTTAATAAAAACGCCTAGCTTTCATCGGCAGCTGACTTTGGTCACCCTATAAAGGGACTCTCCTACTGGCTAGCATTTTAAGCCCTGATGATGTCAGTAGCTGCCGACGAAAGCTAGGCATTTTTATTAAAATGTTTATAGTAACTCTCTGGTATTCACGTTTATTTATTTGTTTTAAGTATGGATATACCCAGGGATCATATTTTTAATATTATCATCAACAAGTATGTATGTATGTATGTATATGCCAGAAGAACCCTTCCCCCAAAAATAAAATAGAAATGTTTACTGCTTTTTAACTTACTACCTGCAAATGACTAGGCTCAAATTTTGAACACAATACGTGTGGACCTAGCTCAGGGGTAGGCAACCTTGGCTCTTTTATGACTCGTGGACTTCAACTCCCATGCTGGCTCAGGAATTCTGGGAGCTGAAGTCCACGAGTCATAAAAGAGCCAAGGTTGCCTACCCCTGACCTAGCTCACTTGAGAAGACTCTAATGTTGGGAAAGATGAAATGGAAGAAGAGGATGATCAGCAGGGAGCAGATGGACTCAGTTACAGTGACAACGGGTGCACCCCTAGAAGCCTTGAAAAATCAAGTTGGGGGATTAATTGCCTATAAATAAAGTATCCCCGAATTCATTGATTTTCATCTCCACATACCAACCATTCTCACTCACACAGACACAGGCATTTCCTTTCCATCCCTCCAACAAAAAGAGAAGGAAAAGCTACTAAGAGTAAAGAGAAACTGCTCTGGAAAAGAAAAGGAGGGAAACAAAACTAAATGGAGTTGAAGAAAAAAAGTAACAAATAGAAAATGAAAGAAAAGCGAAAAGCCATCTCTGGATCCTATAAAAAGGCTACAGGTAGTCCTTGATTTACAACAATTTGTTTAGTGACAGTTCAAAATTATAACAGCAGTGAAAAAAGTGATTTATGATTTATAATCGTTTTTCACTTATGAACATTGCAGCATCCCCAAGGCAACTGGGCAGTTGCTTGGAAACTGGTTCATATTTCTGATAGTTGAAGCCCCAGAGTCATCTGATCATCTTTTGCAACCTTCTTACAAGCAATGGGAAATCCAGATTCATTTAACAATTGTGGCAAGAAAAGTCATAAAATGGGGCAAAATTCACTTAAAAACTGTCTCACATAGCAACGGAATTTTTGAGCTCAACTGTGTTTTTAAGTCAAAGACTACCTGTACATTCAGCAGGCAAACAACCATTCTTAAGCACTAGTCATTTTTAGGTTAATTTTCAATCTTCATTTTCTTCATTCCTTTGGTTTCTACAACTTCTATTTTTCTCGGGGACTAGGCAACCCATGCCCCATTGGGTAATCGTTTCAGAGATATTTCCTTACCTAAACAGAGAAACAGAATGACTATGGTTGGGCAAAAAAGCAGTGGGAGTGGAAGCAACTTCTGACTTTCTGCCAGCTTCTCCATTGAGTCTCCTCATGGGAAGCGGGCAGGAACATCAGAAATCCTTCCTTCCTTCCTTCCCTTCCCTTCCCTTCCAGCAGGAAGATTAGTGGAGGCTGCTGGATAGGGGAAGAAGCAGAGAGTTGGGAGACTGTCTGGAAAACTGTCATGAAATATTGAAAACCAAGATCACATGATTGCAGCATCAACCGACCAGCACAGCAGCAATCAGTAGAACTAAGCAGCCACAACGTTCCCTAATTTAATCATGGGTGTCATGGGTCCCAGATTGGGACATACTCTGTAAATTTGCTACTTGAAGTGCCTTTGTTCAAAAACTATGATGGCCTAAAAAGCATGACAATAAGAGTTTTACTAGTATATAGATAGAGGTAAATGAGACTATCCCATTTGCAGGTCATCATTTAAGAAAAACAGTCTTCCTACTGGTCAAATACTATAAGTAAATGTTATGTAAGCCTGGATATTGTCATGTCCAAAACCAAGAATAATGTGACTGTAAGGACCCACCTCAGCTAATCACCCAAGAAAGCAGAACTCTTGAAGCAGGCATTGTCTCAAAAGGAACTTTCATTAGGCGTTAGTGACAGTAGGGAAGTCAAGACAAGATCTGGGGAAAAGCCCACTTAAACAGTATAGTTAAACTAGCAATCTTCCTCCTCCCACCAACGTCAGTATCCATTTGAAATCCAGCCAATCCACAGGTGGTACAATGTTTGGGTAACTGGCATATCAAGGTCTTTTCCAGTTTCGGTTTCTCCATAGTTGTCTCCCTGATAAGGGAGACACAGTCTTTTCTCAAGAGGATAGAGGTGGGAGAGGAAAAGCAGAAAGTTAAAGTTATCCCAAATGAAAGCAAACTCCCCCAACCCAGCAGAATGGCAAGCCCCAAACAAGAGCACAAATGCAGGGGAAACAATAACGATTTGGGGACCTGACAGTGGCAATTCTTCAGAGTTCTTTATTGTTTCACATCTATGGACTATTGGCAGACTGGGGACCCAACAATCTGCTTGTACAATATACTTTGTGAACTATTAGAGAGAGCCTGTCTTCACCCTCTTTTCTCCCATACATAACTGTGTTTGATCACCTCTTATTCCTCTGGAATGCACCCTGTCCCTTCTGGGGTTCCACCTCATTGCTATAGTCCATCATAGATATTTATATAATTTTATGGCAAATTGTGTAGATAGACAAATGTCCCAGCAATGTTAAAACCATGATAATCTAAGGAAAGTTTCAGTTCTGCACAATTTCAGTTCAGTACAAATAACACCTATATATCTATATGACCTACAGAAAAGAAGATATAAATATGTCCACAAGACTGGCTCTAGGTTAAAGCAGAGCGGGCATCACTCTAGAAATGCTAAATTTTACAACACGCCCAAACAGAAAACATTTCTGAAAAACACAATAAAAAATGAAGCAGTAACAATGTCCTTCATGAACCACCACAAGGATTAAATATTAGTAGACAACTCATGTCCCATTTGGTCTTCCTTTCAGAGGTATTTCCTTATCAGATTCCCCAATGCCTTCAATTGTGATAGAACTTCTAATATATTATCTTTACTGGAAAAGTTGGGACACATTCAGAGATATATCTGCCTTGAAAATAGCCCACGTGGAACTATATAGCACAGGCAAACAGCACAGGAAATGTTTTATGATATTTAATGTTATATCATAAGTCGTTTTATGAAGAATTTTATGTAATAAAATGTTTTATAAAATTTGCTAAATTTCAGTTCCACAGGAGTCAGAGGTCCCAGATTGGACACATTATGTAAGTTAGGCCATTTGAAGTACCTAAGATGAAAATTCCTTGCCCTGTGATGCATTATTTCCCTTTCTTGAAAGTTAAAAAAACAAGACTTTTAGTAGCATATGGATTTTGCAGAATTGTTGCTATATGACAATGACTGCTAAAGAGATTAAAATCACTTCATGAGCTGTGTAAACATGTCCAAGAAAAAAATTGTCCAGGGCTGAAAATTGTAAGTGTAAAGGTCAAACACTGGAAGAAAAAGAAAGAGGGTGCCTTTAAGTTCCTAACAATACGGGAACATGGCTTGGAAAAGAGCTGAATGTGATTTTGCCTGGAGCACCAAAAGGGAGCCCTGTACGTATTTCATTTTCACGACTCAATGCTTCATTTGAGAGGAAAAAGTAACCGATCTATCTGGTATTTTTTTCTGAATTTTATGGAAGAAAGCTAAAATGTTTGTCTTGTGTTAAGAAAAGTACAGACGGTGAATTAGAAAACATTTAAGTGTAAAGAAAACATTTAAGTGTAAAGAAGCAACTAAGGAACCTGCTTAGGATGCCCAGTATTTAGTGGCAGAAAGGAGAAGGTTGTCCTGCCTATCCATTACTATAAACGGAAAGGGGATTCTGCACTGCCATTTGGCAGAACTAGAAGTACAAAAAAAGAGAGGGGAGATAGGCGGACAGACGCTGCCCGGGTGGATCCGCTGCTGTTTGGGGAGGCAGAGCCCGCGCCGGGAGCAGCAAGTGCTGAAGCTTTCCCCGGTTTCTGCAAGCGACCCCCGCTTTTTCCAGCAGAGACCATCTCACTGCTTGGAGGGCAGCTTTGCTCCTTCACTGCGATTCAGTGCCCTTCAAACAGGGTTTCCTCCCGTTCAAGCAAAGCTTGGCGACCAGGGAAAAAAAATTACATCACTTCAAACTATTCCTGCTGTCGGAGGATTTCCCTGCTCATTCTCTCGCTCTCCGGCAGGCCGCCGTGAACGGAGGGCTCCCGAGGGCAACTCGAAGGCTTCCCTACAGGAGGAGCCAGTTTCTATAGGAAACAAGTAACAACAGACGGGAGGCCTCTCGTGTCGCCCGGGAGAGGGCTCGGTCCTAATCGCGGAGGGGAATGGTTTTATATCTTTTTTATGTTGCCATTAGCAGTCCGTGGAGTGGAGGGCGGTACCCGCAGAAACGGGTCCGGAATTCTTTCTTCGCCGTATCTCTTAGGGACAAAAACCAGCTTCTTAGAGGTTTTGCTGGGTTCAGGAGGTCGGCGAACGGCAGCATGACGGAGCTGCACGAAGCGGCAGCTTTGGGCAAATACGATTTAGCGGAAGAGATCCTCTCGACTGGGCTCGCGGACCCGAATTGCCAAGACGCGGACTGGAGCGACAGAACGCCTCTCCACTGGGCGGCAGCAAACGGTGAGCCATCATGTGGGAGACGCGCCTGCGCCAGAAGGAAACTGAAGGAAAAACGCGGGCCCGAAAGTAACGCGAGTGTATGGAGCAAGTCAGAGCGGGTAATTTCCAGTTCAGTTTGCAGTCGGCGTATTCCCAGCCGTTCGCCAAGTCCTGATGAGAGCAAGCGCGCAAACTGATCGGTTAGCAAAATCATATTTCCTGGTGTAACAGAAATCAAACGGGGGTCAAAGTTACGAGAGGCTGAGGCGCAAAAACCAAGAACGCTGCCTACCTTTCAGATTCTGGAATCAGTGCTGCGGCTAATTAGCACGGAGGGTTATTAGCGTGGCCTTTCCTTATCCCAGTTTAAGTACCTGGTGGGATAAAAGTAGAAAAGGGGTCACCAGGTGATCCTTCCTTTACTCTGCACCAGTAAAGCAACGGTTTGACAGCAGCGATGGACTTCAACGTGGCATGAGATAAAAGAATGAGAGCAGGAACCCCGGAGCTACAGTGAGGGAAAAAATTAATGATTCCCTTCTGATTTTGTACCTTTGCCCGCTGACAAAGAAATGATCGGTCTATAATTTTAATGGTAGGTTTATTTTAACAGTAAGAGATAGAATAACAACAAAAAATCCAAGAAAATGCATTTTTAAAAAGTTACAAATTCATTTGCATTTTAATGAGTGAAATAAGCATTTGATCTTCTATCAATCAGCAAGTTTTCTGACTCCCATGTGTCTTCTATACAGGTAATGAGTTGAGATTATGAGCACTCTCTTAAAGGGAGTGCTCTTAATCTCAGCTTTTACCTGTATAAAAGAGACCTGTCCACAGAATCAACCAATCAATATGATTCCAAACTCTCCACCATGGCCAAGAGCTGTCCAAGGATGTCAAAGACAAGATTGTTGACCAACACAAGGCTGGAATGGGCTAAAGACTATCAATAAGCAGCTTGGTGAGAAGGTGACAACAGTTGGTGTGATTATTCACAAATGGAAGAAATACAAAATAACTGTCGCTCTCCCTCAGTTTGGGGTTCCGTGCAAGATCTCATCTCATGGAGTTTCAATGATCATGAAAACGGTGAGGAATCAGCCCAGAACTATATGGGGGGACCTTGTCAATGATCTCAAGGTAGATGGGACCATAGTCACCAAGAAAACAATTGGTAACACACTACTCCGTGAAGGACTGAAATTCTGCAGCACCTGCAAGGTCCCCCTGCTCAAGAAAGCACATGTACAGGCCTTTCTGAAGTTTGCCAATGAACATCTGAATGATTCAGAGGAGAACTGGGTGAAAGTTTTGTGGTCAGATGAGACCAACATAAACTCTTTGGCATCAACTCAACTCGCCGTATTTGGAAGAATGCTGCCTATGACCCCAAGAACACCATCCCCACTGTCAAACATGGAGGTGGAAATATGCCTTGGGGGTGTTTTTCTGCTAAGGGGACAGGACAACTTCACTCCATCAAAGGGATGATAGATGGGACCATGTACCATCAAATCTTGGGTGAGAACCTCCTTCTCTCAGCCAGGGCATTGAAAATGGGTCATGGATAGGTATTCCAGCATGACAGTGACCCAAAACACCTGGCCAAGCCAACAAAAGAGTGGCTCAAGAAGAAGCCCATTAATGTCCTGGAGTGGCCTAGCCAGTCTCCAGACTGTAGTCCCATAGAAAATCTGTGGAGGGAGCCGAAGGTTCGAGCTGCCAAATGTCAGCCTTGAAACCTTAATGAGTTGGATAGGATCTGCAAAGAGGAATGGGACAAAATCCTTCCTGAGATGAGTGCAAACCTGGTGGCCAACTACAAGAAACCTCTGTGATTGCCAACAAGGGTTTTGCCACCAAGCACTAAGTCATGTTTTGTGAAGAGGTCAAATACTTATTTCACTCATTAAAATGTAAATCAATTTATAACTTTATTGAAATACATTTTTCTGGATTGTTTTTGTTATCCTGTATCACTGTTAAAATAAACCTACCATTACAATTATAGACTGATCATTTTTTTGTCAGTGGGCAAACGTACAAAACCAGCAGGGGATCAAATAATTTTTCTCTCACTGTATCTTCCTTTTCACTCCCATTTCACCTGTGATATTTCATGAGTTTTCCCTGGGATTAAAATGGTGGCTCTCAGGTGCTCTTCTATGTCTTACAAGTACTTCACCAAGCAGCGAAAAATGTAGAGACTGTAATACTATATTTGGGGGTAAGAGGACGTGGCCAGCAGCAGAACGTACATAGAAGAAGTGGCTGGATGGGGGATCCTCTGCTCCAAGCATGTCCCCTTCCCTACCCATCTACCAAGTCCTCAATGGAAGCGTCCTTGGGGTGCTGGGAATGGATTTTTGGTTTTGTCTGCTTTTTAAAAATTGTTCTTAGGCACCCAGAATCATGTTTTTGAGATAGACTGCCATCCAGATTAAAATAAAATAAAAAATATCGACTTAATTGAAAATAAGGTTTGTGAATGGCAAAAATGGTTTCAGTCTTAAAGTTTAAATTTGATTTGAAAAAAAAAATGCTATGCTATATAGAATGCTTAGCATACAATTTTGGGCATAAAACAGTATAAAGATTGCTAATACATGGGAATGCCTCTAATGATAAGCACTATGATTTAAACACAAAATGCACTGACTCGTGAGTGGGATGAAGGAGCGATTTGCCCTTTACAAGGAATTGTTGGGACAAAAGAGATGGTGGATCCATCTAAGAATTTTTACACAGAGCCAGAAGGTGTTTTCCCCAACAAGTTTGGGCTTCATCTAATTGCCTTCTTAAACAGACTGGTGAGTAATGGTAGAATAACAGTCTTGGCCATCAGCAATTGAATGTGGAAATAAGGCAACTGGGTTTATAGACTTAATAACAAATGCAATGCATTAGCCAAATATTAAAAATACAGATTTTGGGGTAGCCAATATGTAATGTTATATGCTATGCTAGATATATATTAGTAAAGAATACCTCCATTATGTTGTTCAAGAAACCAATAAGTATAAAGATTTCAAGAGGGGGAATACATGTCAGCCATCCGGAAGGGATTCTGGGATGTGGGTGTGATGCCTACAAAAGAGCTGTATTAATAGGGAACGGAGTGTGCTTTCCTGCAGATCATGTTTTTAATGTTTTCAAACAGTCTTTATAATGGTTTTTTTGTATTTCTTGGTGAGTGTTGTTTTTTTATGTTCTTTTAACTTTATATACCATTTAGATTCAGGTATCTTAGGTGGGAGGCTATATAGATTTAAGTAAGTAAATAAATTAAAATATGTGAACCATGAATCTCCAATATGTTGGTGTTATAATGTAATGACATTTAACTTTATTCCATGTATTTGTATGAACAGACATTTTTTAAAAAATGGAGTACCTGATATCCACACTGGTAATTCATGAAAATTTCAGCCTATGCAGAATGTGAAAATGTTCTCCAATTAATAGTTTAAAAAAGTCACAACAAGACCCAGTTCTCAGAATTAAATTAAAAAAAAAAAACTCCTTTCCAAAACAAGAGATTCCAGAGCCTGGTCTAAAAGAGCTACTTCAGTGTTAATGGGAAAGTTTTCTGCTGCTAGCTGTCCTTGTTATTCTAATGTCCTGTTTGCATTTTCAACAGGCCACTCAAAGATGGTAAAGCTGCTTGTGGCACATGGTGCTCGCCTGGTTTTGCGAACGGAGGCAGGTTGGACTCCAGTTCATTTTGCTGCAGAATCAGGGCGACTGAGCGTGTTGAGGACACTGCACTCCTTGCACGCACCGATGGATGCCCCAGATCTCTATGGAGATGTTCCAAGAAGAATTGCAGAAATCTATGGGCACAAAGCCTGCGTCAAATTCTTAGAAATGTAAGCACAGTATTGGCAGAAGAATTAAGGCAGGTGATCTTGTAACTTTCCTTGTGCATTGGGAGTAAAGGGGCTCACCTCAGTCCAAAGTTAGAGGGAAAATGGAAATATCAAAACAATTCAAATTGATGGTATTCAAATCAGTCAATATAAAAATCTGCTTTTTTTAAAAAAACAACAGTCAAATCGCATATGAAAGCTCTTTGAAAATTAAAGCCTTTCTAAATGACATTAAAGGAGCGCCAGCCAACTCTATTGTAGGAGCAGTATTCCAGAGCAGTGGCATAAGAGCTGCACCTCTCCTATTATTTTGCATTATCAGATCATATGGTTTGAGATGAAGAGACAACGAGCAGGGTTGCTGAGAATGTTCTTAAATCAACTCAGAATGTTTTCGGCTTTAAAGCCCAAGAACTTTCTGCACAGCAGCCTTAATTTATTTAACTCTCAGCCTTTCTAAAGTTTCTACCTTTTCCTCTATTTTCACCAAATTAATGCTACGCTGGTTTACATGGATTGCACTTATCAAATCTCCAACTGGTGAACTTCCCTGTTTCTTTTTCCCCAGTGCATGTTGGGAAAGCAAACAATCAGTTGCTTTTTCTCTGTAGTAGCAGGTCTTCGGGACCTGCTCTTTCCATCAATACAGGTAGTCCTCGACTTGGAAAAGGTGATCACATGAAGCCAGAACACTGCAATCGTCACAAATAGTTGCCAAGAGTCTCAATTTTGATCACGTGACCATGGGGATTCTGCAATGGTGGTGTGAAAAACGCTCATAAGTCACTTTTCTCAGTGCCATTGTAAATTAGAATGGTCACTAAATGAATTATTGTAAGTAGTGAAGTACTTGTACTCCTTTTTTGCCATTCTCTCCCCCACTCCCCAAAAAACCCTTCTTCATGTTTGACACCTTCCCTTCTGATGCATCCTCTCCATATTCTAGGACAGCGGTTCTCAACCTGTGGGTTGTGACCCCATTTGGGCTCGAACGACCATTTCACGGGGGTCACCAAACAACGCAGTCCGCCATTTTTTTCCCCTTTTCCTTAGCTGTGCTACTCCCTTTTATTCTATTGGCTTTTGAAAGCCAATAGAATAGACTCTCTTGAATAGAGTCTAATTCTATTGGCTTTCAAAAGCCAATAGGAATTGTCCAGGCTGTCTCTGCCCTGCTGAGCCTGCCAAAAGTCCCATTCTGCAAACGGTGCTGCAAGTTGTCTGCAGCGAAGGCGAGCTGTCTGGAAGTTTCCACCCCTCCCTGCTGAGCAACTACTAAAAATGTAAGTAAAAGAGGGCCAGGGGTGGGAGGTGGGAGGCTGGTGGACGCAGGGAGGGTTGCTGGCATGCGTGGGGCCCAGTGGGTGCCTTACCTCCCTTGGGTTGGGCCAGCTGGTGGCCCAGCCGGTGGTCGGCCTGTGCCGTCTCTGCCGCTTGCCAGCTATGCCTTGGCCGGAGCAGGGGGCGGCACCACGCATGCAAAATGCTCCTGGGCAGGAAAAGTCCTCGACTTACGACCGGTTGGGTAGTCCTCGACTTACGACCAGGTGGGGGTCACGGCATTAAAAAGGTTGAGAACCACTGTTCTAGGAGGAACTCTGCAAGACTTTAAAATCCAGAACTCTGTTCAAGGAAGTAATATATAACCCATTTGGATTGAGGATAATAATTGTACTAACAAATCTTTATGAGTGACTTGCCCTCTGCTTTTTTTGCCTAAATAAACATTCAGTGAAGTTGCCTTCATTGGTGTTAACCTGATATTTCTCAGTGGAGCTGAACTGAACTAATGTAAAGCACCCATATGTATTTAAGGAATTTTCCCATATTTTGTTGTATTAGTGTCCTCTAGGGTAGTGGTGGCGAATCTATGGCACGGGTGCTAGAGGCAGCACTCAGAGCCCTCTCTGTGGGCACACATGCCGTTGCCCCAGGTTTGCCTCCCCCGTGACCCCCTCCTCACCAGCAGCCCCCCTGGAGGAGAGTCACCCTCAAATGTGGCCCATGCGGAGCAGCGCAGCCAAGGACATGGCAGCCGGGCAGCGTAGACAAGACTCTGCCCTCATGCCCCATCACACACAGTTGATGCTGTGGGGCATGGGCAAGGGCGTGGCTGCCATGGCGCTGCTGGGCTGCCATGGCGATCTGCAGCAGGCCCTGGAGGCGGTGAGTGGCCCTTGGGCAAGCGGAGCGGGGGCGGGGTAGGGGATGGAGTGGGGACGGGGCCAGTTTTTGGGCACTCGGTCTCTAAAAGGTTCGCCATCACTGCTCTAGGGTTTGAGAAAGCAAAGCCAAAGCTCTTTTGCTTTTAATTAATTTTAGAACTGCGGCCAAGAGCGGGCTATGGTAAAGACGGATGCAAAATCCCCCAGCCTTCCAAATGGAAAAGTCCCTTTCAAGTCATGATCAGCCATTGGTAGCAGCTTATCCAAAACCTTTTCCTCTTTCCTTTTGATCTAGAGCTGAAATAGAACACAGGGCATATTGCCAGATGGCAAAATCAAAGGGAATCCAACTGGATGAGAAGGATGAAGCTTGGGAGCGTAAGAAGGAAGAACTTTTGAAAAGTAAACCCTTCTCTCCAAAGAAACATATGAAACACAAGATGCAGGGAAAAGACGGTGAACAACTTCCTTCAAGAAAATAATGAGAAGAATGGTATATTTCAGATAAGAGGGTCTCAGCTACCTTAACTTTGTAGTCATTGAAACTCATCTATTTCATTTACTATTTTTCTTATTTTGAACGAGTTCATCATCATCTCAGTTTAAGAAATTTTTAAAAGCATGCATGAAAAATTCTATTTTTATATGAATTTTTGCCTGATTAATTAATTTTGCATATACCTTTGTATAATATATTCATATTTTAAGCTTTCCTCTAATTTAATAATGTTTTGTACTTTATGATTACATTATGTATATATTTGCTGTAATATTCTCTTAATATTTTTATTAACATTATGGGGAATATTAATATTTATTATTTTTATTTTATTAGCGTTTCTGGCCATATTTTAATTTGAAGGCGCTGCCAAAGTGTGAAACCAGGTTGCACATAGCCAAAGTGGGAAACTGCAGATGAAAATCTGTCTCTTATTTTTTAATGTGTATAAAGAAATCTTAAAGTTAATGTACATTCCCATTTAACAAATAGTCTGAAGATAAACATGAGAAAGATGCGGATAGTTTGGAATATTGTGCTTTAACAGGATAGGGTTAGGGTTTAAAAATTTTTAAATTAGGGACATTACCTTAAGATTATTTTGATAACATATTTTGTATATAGAATACCTTACCATGAAGAGAGCAAGGGCTGGGTTCCTGCATGTTGGAAGGTAACACTTCAGAAGGACGATAGGATCTGCTCTAACATCATGTTGCTTTCATACTCGCGGCCTGATAAACAAGGTGCTTGGATAAGAAATAAGGGTCTATGATAACAAGGTAAATTTGAATTATATTCCAAACATTTGAAATCTACTGAAGTATGAAGAACTTAGGTTTAACTGGACAGCAGTTAAGACGATGACTCTACATCCATGGAAAAAGTTAGCATGAAGGACATGTTTAAATCTTCTACAGATCTATCAAGTTTCTACATCCACTGTGGGAAAATGTCATCAGTATAATGCATGTGGTCAAAATCAATTTTGTTTTTTAAGATTTATATATTTACTTCTTCTAATGTTATTTCTTCTAATATATGTTACCTTTATTTTTCCTTTCTTCTTCTTTCCCTCTATGCATTAATTGTTCTAAGGTTCATCTAGTATTTGTTTTGGTATTATCATTTATTACTGCTGATCTCATCCTGGTCACCCTTGAGATTGCTTTATGCTTCATTAATTAACATTTCTGAACAGTCTTTTGATAGGTGTCAAAGCTGGGAATGCTTTAAAGTGAGTAACCATGCAGGAAACAATTATTCTAAATCAGTGGTTCTCAACCTGTGAGTCGGGACCCCATTTGGGGTCGAACGACCATTTCACGGGGGTCGCCAAACAAGGCTGTCCGCCATTTTTTTCCCCTTTTCTTTGGCCACGCCCCTGGCACCCGGTGATGTATAAGTGGTTGGGGGTCACCACAACATGGGGAACTGTATTATGGGGTCACGGCATTAGAAAGGTTGAGAACCACTGTTCTAAATGCTATCAGGTAACTTGGGCAACTAAACCCAAGTTACCTGATAGCATTTAGAAATTATCTTTACTATTTCATGCTTTGACATATTTGGAGAGAATGGTTAACTGATTGGAATGAAAGGAGAATGTATCTGCTAAACATTATGTAAGGAAAATAATAAAAAACAGGAAAAACATAAAGCTTTGTTCTATTAATAACATTAAAAGTACCAATCACAATAGCAATCTTTTCAATTGCGATTGGATCTGTTTCTATTTTCAAACATAAATTATTTGACACCTTGTTTTTATTGCTAGATTGATGATAAAAATAACTGTCCAATTATTTAGTATGTTTATTTTATTTTTTTGTATATGTTTTGCTAACTAACTTTTTATCCTTTTAATAAAACATCATAATGAACATTCTTTTTAAGTTCAACACTTTTAGAAAAACAGGTACACAAGCCATGCAGATTTTCCCAAAGAGGAAAAAATAACATCTGGCCTTAAACTAAAAAAATCTGTAACTACATTCCTATAAATGCAATTCTCAAATAGATATAAAAATCAAAACTGGACTCCTTTTATGCACTATTTTTCTTTATTGCCTTTTAAGGTTCACCTCTATATAACATACTATGTGAAGGACAGAATTAATCACTTCTTCACCAGCATAGTACTATTTTAATTCCAGATGTTCCCAGATCAAATTATTAGCTTGTACTGAAAAAGACCTATATATAAAGGTGGTTCAAGGCTGTTTTGCAGTTCTCTTCAGAAATATGTTTGATGGCTTCCGGTTCCAGTTTTCGACACTGGCGGCCATGCGGAGAGATTCTTCTCCCCGCCGTCTGGTTTTTCTCCTTCGGAAGACCCTGGAAAGGGTTAAAAGTTGCTCTGGAGGGGCAACCACCATTGGGGGGGACTCTTGCTGGATCGTGGGGGGGAAGCAGTCTCTCTGTTGATCTGCAGTAACTCCCCAGGACCGAAGAGGAAAAGAGCGGCCATTAACATGGCCCCTCACTTAGTCGAACCAGCTGAAAGCCCAAAGCACCAACTAAGCATGAAGAAGCAACTGGAGGAGTTGGGTGAGACCCTATTTTTCCTTTTTCGCCTCCCAACTACCTTCCTGTAAAAATTTTTGAAATACCCCTTTCCCCCAGCTGAATTTTGCAGCTCTTGCTCACTTCGGGAATATAAAGCCAAGAAACACACGTTAAAAAAAAAGGAACAACAAGATTAAATGACTACTTACCTGGACTTGTAATATCTGGATACCTGGGCTCCCTAAAAGCTCTGTATCTTAACAAAAACTTACTGTTTTACTTTTTTATTAACCTGGGGGAAAAAATGGAATGTTCTTTGTTTCCTCTCTTGAACCAGAAAAAAGCCCTATTTTGTATGTTCACATCTAGTGGTGAACATTTGCTACAACAAGTGGAATAATTTTTTTCCGTCTGGGAGATCTCTGAGACCAAATTTGTCTTTGACAGCAACCAAAAGATAAGAACTTGAAAGAGCTGGGTGGTGAAAATAGTTCTTTATAGTGGAGGTGGACAATTATTGACTCTTATTAAAATAGCCTCCACTAAAAGACTGTTAACATTACAGAAATGGAGGAATACCACCCACAGCTTAATATCAAACTTATGCTTGAAAAAATTCTAGAGGCTACTGAACTAATGAAGTCTACAATGAAAGACTTATATGCCACTTTAAAGCCACAAAAGGCAGCTTTAACCCCATTAGAGGAACCCACACTTCAAAAAGCAATAGAAGAAGGAACTAATAACAAAGTGGAAGAATGTCAGGAACAATCTACTCAGACCTTTAATACTCAAAGCTTGACCTTACTTAAAGACTTGACAACTACAACAGCAACAGAAACTGATCAAAGTAATACTAAGATGGAACTTTCAGAGGATTTACGACAATACACTGAGATTTCAGATAATCTAGATGATCCAAAAACAACTACAACGTCGAACATGACTATTCATCTACTTCAGTTGAAACTAGAAGAAGACCAATCTGAACGCATGATAAACACATTAACTCAGATATGGAGATTTAAACCATTGGGTTAACAATTTAACGACTGAAGGGACTGGCTTCCTTGATAGGCTGATGATTGGATGGTCTCACCTGTTTCAAATGATATATCCAGGAAGGAAGGGAGAGCCATTTGAGGCCCAAAAAGCTTTTTTATGAAAGCCAGCTTGGCATAAAAGGAAGGCCAGAGTTAGATTTTAAAAAAAATGATTTTCTTTGTTTGATATCTAATGGAAGAGCTTTAAACTTTATCTAATGAGCTAAGGAGACTTTAAAAGATATTATTGGATTTATAGTTAGATTTATACCTACAGTATAAGGGAAATAAATTAGTTATTTAAATAATTGTTTTGAATTATAAATAGAAGATGGATTCAGAGAATAAAGGTTATTTTATGAGTAAGCGATGATATTAAAATGAGAATTAGAATATGATGGTGAAATAAATTAAGAAATTGGAATAAACAATAAGTGTATCTTAGAGATGATACTATTTTGTATGAATTAAGGGAACCGTGGGCTATCCGAAATCTTTGATGATGTAAACTGATATATGTATGGATAAGAGTGTTATTGGATTATGTGTATAATCCAATCAACCACCATGTTGCTTCCTTAAATACCTGAAGGTTTGTAAAAATGGAAAATTAATAAAACTTATTATATAAAAAAAGAAAAAAAAGAAATATGTTTGACAAAAGGAGCATCAACACAACAAAATTAATGGCTTCTGTGATCATGAGAGATGGTTATGTCTCCACAGAGAAAAAAAATGAAAAAAAAAGTTTGATGGATGCTTTAATCATAAAGTTTCTCATTGACTGCTGCAGAATAGATAGAAATTGAACAAGTTTATACATCAGCAGGGCTTTTCTGACACATCAAGGCCCAGTGGCTTGTGTAGACATTTCCATGCACATAAAAAAAGGAAGGGGAATTGGTGTATCAAGGACAGAAACTAGGAGCAGGCAGAATATGTAACTGAAGATTCTGGTCTTGAGTGCTGTCAGTTATTCTTGGTGCAGTAGAGTATTCATGGGAAGGCAGAGAAGTTCTAAGGTACACATTAGAGGCTGGATTGACAGCTTTCTATGCTTGACATAAATGCATGAAAGGTGTGGCTGGAGGGGGAGGGCACCAGTTTATATGAGAAATGACTTATCAAAAATCAGCCTGTCCTGCTTGAATGTCCGGATGGGTCTGTTGGGTATTCCCACACCTCACTGGGCATAAGACCAGGTAACAGCCTAGCCTGGTGCTTTAACCACTAGACCAATGACAATCTCACTAGCTAAGAAATCCAAGCATCTTATGGTTAACCATAAAGGACTGCTTGTTGTTGGAACTTTGCCCCTTTGCCTGCCTTTTTTTTGGGGGGGGGAGTATTATGTATGACAGTAACAGGTTTCACACAGCCTTGCTTTTTTCACTACAGAAATAAATGATTGCATTACATATTACCTTGTATTTTCTCAATTGCATATCCCCACTTGTATATGTGTATGTATTCAATTTATATTGCCCAACTCAGACTGGCATCCATCACACTCATTTCTCCCATTTTCCCCTCAATCTTGTGAAATGCGCTAAATTAAGGAAGGGCTGAGCCAAAGTTACCCAGTAGTTTTCAGCTGAGGTTGTATTAGAGCACAGGTCTTTCCAATTCCATTCCAGCAGCTCATCTAAAACATAGAAATTTACCCACTTGTGGGTTGACAATCAAGTAAGAATTGCCACTTCATAACAGCCTTCTGGCATTCACTGACTATTGGTTTAATTGCTTTTTTTCATTATTAAATGAAACACAATGATTTTTGTTCTTAAGGTAAATTGCCTCGACTGAACATCAGCTTTGTCGTGAATATTGGATGGCTGTACGTTTCTCCCTTCTTGCTTTTGCAAACTCAACCAAATTTTCATTATTTCTCCTGATCCTATATTTTAACATGATTCTTCTAAAATTTAGTTTGATTGGCGTCTCATTTCAGATCTGGTAGAGGGGATATATATCGGCTAGATTGCTTACACGTAGAGTCATAAAAGAAATCCAGCATGAGTCTGTGGATAGTAACTCTGTGTATTTTGCTCTACCCCAAAGCTATGACATGCTAACTACGAGCATCCAGCTTGTGTTTAGTTTTCCTCTTCAGAATGTGATTGGATCAGATCAAAGGTAAACACAATACAGAAAGTGACTGAGGGGTCTTCCATGTCCTGTTATAGAATTAGTTGCAACATAACTTGGAATGCTGCATTCAGTTTTGATCACCGCTATACAAAAAAGATGTCGAGACTCTAGAAAGAGTGAAGAGAACAGCAACAAAGATGATACGATGAACAGTGGCGGGAATTCAGTATTTCTAATCTAATGAAGAGAAACACTAGAGGTGACATGATAGCGGCCTTCCAATATTTGAGAGGCTATCACAGAATAAGGGATTGACTTATTCTCCAAAGCACCTGAGGGCAAGACAAGAAGATCCAACCTAGAATTAAGGGGAAGTTATTTGGCAGTGAGAACAATTAACCAGTGGAACAGCTTGTCTCTAGAATTTGTGGGCACTCTATCACTGGAGGTTATGAAGAAAAGATTGGATAGAAAAGATTTGTCCAGAATTTTATAGGGTCTCCTGCTTGAGCAGGGGATTGGACTAGGTCTCCAAGGTCTCTTCCATCTTTGTTATTCCATATTCTATACAGGAAGATTTCTCCTGTGCTACCAGGAAAGCTGTTGTGGTTTGGCATAGTAACACAATCAAGCTAGGACTGTTGCAATGGTTTTTTTTTTTTTTAAATTGTCAGCTTTAAGATGTGTGGACTTCAGTTCCCAGAATCCTGACTGGGAATTCTGGGAATTGAAGTTCACACATCCTAAGGTTGGCAAGTTTGAGGAATGCTGCTCTGTTGATAAAAGAACCATATCACATGGCTGACTCATATTCAATTTTAATTAATTACTGTCCCAATAATTTTTACATATACTTGCCAAGCCAGATAAGTTCCATTCTATATCCATATCATTTTATAATCATTTGAATTCTATTTTCTGGTTGTATACAGTACATTTGCTTTAATCACTGTTCAATTTATTATGATTGTCTAACCTGTCAAGATTGTTTTGAATCTTATTTCTGTCTTCTGGGATACAGGAAATAGTATCCCATCTGTTTTGTGTCATCAGCAAAACTGATAAACTTTCTCATCTATCATTAATAAAAATGTTGAAAAATACAAGATTCTCAAGCATCCAGGTCATGGTTGTCCCAAAGATGTTTTTAAAAGGCAACTGGACTTTCTAGTCCCCCCCCCCCCTGAAAGCGATTCTGTTCTCATTAAGAAATTTATTTTATTTTATTTTATATTTTATTCAAAAGATTTTTAAAAGAAAGATAAAGTTACCCCTCAATTATTTTTGTTGGGTATTATTGTAGATTTTGATGTTAAAGAAACTAATTTGATGTTGAACTTAATAACAGCAGCAAGGTTATTGGTAGGGCAATATTGGAAGAAAGAGTCCTTGCCTACTATAGAAGAATGGACATTTAAGGTGTCAAATTTAGCAGAAATGGCAAAAATTTCTGCCTATTTGAAGGATCATACACAAGAAAGATATATTTCGGTTTGGAGAAGATGGATAGATTATATTCAGAATAAATATGGGATTAAAAAAGTTTCATTTAGCTTATGAGTAAATTTTAGATTAGTATTGATAGTATAATAACTCATTTAGATTTGGTATTACTATGGTTTAATTAATATTGACTTGTTTATATTATTATTTTTGTTTTAATTTGCTTATATTTATCTTAAATGGGAGTTAAAGTATTTTATGGATTTGGTTACTTACATAGTTGGGTAATGTTAATTAGAATTTGATTATTAATTTGTAATCCTGTACTCAGCTCTGGGAAGTGGGGGGAGGGTTGGGGTGGGTGGGTTTTGGGATATTGTATGCTGTATAAAACTTTTCAATAAAAAAAAGAAAAAATGTCTTTAGAGTACTGAACTGAAGCAGCTTCTTGGATGAGAAGTGAAACATTTTCAAGGAAAAAAAAAACAAGAAAGTCCAGTTACCTTTTGAAAAGCACATTTGGGAGTATAAGACGAAGATTAAATTCAAAATTCCCCTCCAATTTGGTGAGGAACCATTGATAAGCCTAGCTTTCAGGATAGTTTAATGATCATTCCATCCAGCTCATATTTAGCTTATTTTCTAATCAAGAATGTAGAATTGTAGAATAACAGAGCTGGAAGGCACCCTGGAGGTCATCTAGTCCAACCCCTCGACCAAGCAGGAGAACCTCTCCCATGTCAGACCAATGGCTGTCCAGTCTCATTTACCATTTTTCCACCCTTAGTACTTGCTAGCAACTCAAGGTGCCCAACACCCCAAACCCTTCCTCCTACCCTTCCCCCCAACAACAACCCTGCAAGGTTGGCTGGCCAGACAAAGAGAGGCAGAGAGAGGCTGGCCCAGATCCCCCCAGTCCTCCCCAGCCCAAGGCAGAACTCAAACTCACAACCTCCCCCTCACCACAAAACCCCACCCAGGCGCATCGTAAGTCCGAAGCGGCAGTTGTAAGATATAAAAAGACGGCAAAGCCAACTCCCTCCTATAACTGATTATGTCCCCTAACTTGGTAATGAAAGGTCTGCAAGAAAAAGCACCAAGTTCAGAGAACACCAGGTCCCCGCAGTTCAACCCTGAGCTACAAACATCTCTTCTGTCAGTTTCAGTATTCCCAAGTAGAGGTATTTATAGAGAAAGTGAATCTTTGTATAAATGTGTTTTGAAGTATTTATTTCCTACAAATGTACAACTCTGGGAGGGGGATGGCCTTATCGAAAACTTTCAGGTTATCTTTAAGATATGTATGTACATGTAGGCATCCTTCCTCTGTGTTCCTAAAGCCCTAAATCTTAAAGGATTTGTCTGGTTCACTATTCTTTCAGAGGAATGCCCTTCCGGAGTTTCAGGCTGGCTGTTACAGTAATTATCTGACTGACAGGTTTAGGGCTCTTTGTTACACTGTTCTGTCTTTTACATTGTTTCTCTCAGCTATGGACAAATTACATTTTGTTGATTCAAGAAGTTGACAGGGAATATATAAATAAAATAATTGTTTAAGTTGATTTCCTTCTCAAGAGTATAATTAGGAAATAATAAGATGAATTAAATGTTAACCTATAGTTGCTTAATTCTTAATTTTCTCTGACACTGCATAAAAAGACCGGAAATTTATAGGCTATTTATGCCATGCCCTCAGTCATTCACAGCCACTCCAAAATGTCTTCACCTCAGCTCCTGTGCCTGGCAGCACTGCTGACTGTCTCTTCCACTTTTACGGTATGGTACTTCCCTAGATGCTTCCTGACTTGGTATAATACTATTTTATTTTCCTTGATTTTCTAAAAATGTCCAATTGCCATTGCAGATCAGGAGGACAGCAGAACGTGAAGGTAAATCAAAACAAACTCAAAAGGAAATAAATGATATAAAATAAAAGAATATCTTTTTCTAAGGTGGGAAGCAGACAGTCTGAAATAATGATCTGTAAAGAAGTACATATTTGATACTAATACACGTATTTATTCATTTAAAAGGGTACTCCTTAGATGAAGGAAAACCTAGGCAAGGCATCCCTGAAATCAATGCAGGTAAGCAAATCCTTTCAAGAGAAATATTGTACGTATATGTATTATATAAATAATTTAAAAAAACCCAAACACATTCTTGGGATCCACTGATATTAATAGAAAAGAGTAGGCCTGTAGAACATCAAAACAGAACAAATCAAGATAGTATGTTAGTTTCATCCATTGGTGGTGAGATCTGGAAGGACTGTCTGGTATGATGTGAAGTTTTGAGTACTGCAATACTGAATCCAAATGAGTTCTGTCACTGCCAAAAACCCACAAAAAATTAGAAGCAGCATAAGAGAATGAGGAAATAGGAAATGTTTAGTCTGGAGAAGAAAAGTTTGAAGGAGCTATTACTGCATTCTTCATGTTTATGAAGCCATGTCGCATAGATGAAGAGCTGATTTGTTCTCTGAGGACAATTTTGGAAAAACAAAAAAACTTGGCTTGCATCCTTAATTTCTTCTCTCTCTTCTCCACTGATCATATCTCCCTTATTATCACAATTATTTTCCTTCATACCCATTACATTACAGTATGCTCTGAAAGACTGTTTACAATAAAGGACCTTACATCAGTGTGTGACTAATGACATCCAATATATGTCGATTCACTCTGTTGTGTCCAATAAAAAAAATGTTCAAGCTAAATATCTATAGGAATTGCAGCAAAAATCCAGACTGATTCCTAGACATGGACATGTTAAATAATAAACAGGAAAAAATTCTATCAAATGCTGGGTGTTTATCTATGTGTCTTAGATTTAGAGAACAAAAACCTGTAATAATTTCTTAAATAA